TTTTACCACTTACGCTGTTAATGATTATTTTATAACTTCTATTTAAAAATATTAATATTCTAATTCATAAATTATGTACATAAGTATTTGAATGTTGGTACTTCTTTAATATTGACTGTCATGAACCGATATGAAGTACTCACATATTGATATAATTGTTTGCAGTGACTTAAGTATGATAACTAGAATACGGATGTTAAAACAAAAAAAAAACTAAAAAAATGCACTTAAAAAAAAAAGTGATAAAACTGTATATATCTTCCGAAACTTAAAAAAATCATTAAAAATGGGTTATTTCAAAAAAAAAAAATGTATAATTGTAGGCATGTTGTAAATGAATAGATAAGTGTTACAACGATAACCAAACCGGAATTCTGAGTAGAAAATGTCCAGAGCAAAAACGTATTTTTGTATTTATTGTCGTTTCAAGATAAATGAATCTACCATATATCATACGGTACATGACAAACCGAACACACAGGGAAAGGTTTTCAAGAAATCATTGAATAAGATTTGGAGTCAATTATATAACACAAAAATAAATATTAACATTTCAAATAAGTTTATTTAAAACAAATGTTGAACACATGTAACTTGAAAGCAAAAATAAGTACCCAAAATACACGAAAACAAATTAATATACAAAAAATAAATGCACAAAAACAGAAATACAATTTAGTGCATTCTAAGTAGTATAAATCGAATTTTTAGCTATGATAGCTTCGTTTTAGAGAAATAGAAAAAATCAAAAAATCAAATGCGTTCAAAATCCGGACACTTATGATAACATTTAAACATTTACAATCGTAACTGGCGGACGGACGTAATGATGAATGTAAGGTGTTCTAAACTTCTGACCCCAAAAGTTCTCTGCTGCAACATTATTGTGTTCAAAAGACATTTTTTATAACATGATACGTACAAAAGACGAAGAGTCGGTTCGAAAAAAACATGTGTCCGAAGAAAAATATTTGAATAAAAATAACTTAAACTCGTGAAAGCGTATGTTATTTGAAACATTGTATATTGCTGGTTCACGGAAAGACCAGGTTGAAAACCCAATCTGATTTTTCGCATTCCATTTGAACTAACTTCGTGAAGAACTCGTGTGTACACAAATCTTGATACACCTAGGTTGCCCGGTGGCATTTGCTTCGTTGTTTCGTAACTCAAAAGTCGGGCGAACGAGTGGAAATACCGTTACAGCGGAGTTACTGCGCGCGAGACAACGATGTGTACTACATATTTACTCACACCGGTGTTTCTCAACCGCTGCGCGTCGCTACACACTGATGCGTCGCGGAGTAAGCCCAAGTGTGTCGTAAGGTATGTTCAATGACACAGAATACGAACTCCGATTACATATGATTCAATTCAAATATTAATACGCTACCAGGCAGACGGTATACATCGAATACGATATTCGTTCGGTCTTTATTCGGGTTTTTTCTACGTCATTTCGTGATGCGTGATATATATTAACGATGTGCTGCCGTAATACAAACATCAAAAAACCTATACGTTCGTTCTTGTAGGTCAGCAATCGGAGGCAGTGGCGAATCCACTGGGCGTGGGGGATTAACCCCCTCCCCAAATCAGGAAAAATGTATATTAAAAATCAATAGTTTTATGAATTAAGAAAAAGATTTTTTTTTTTTTTCAAGTATGAGGAAAACTATATAATTTTTATTTTTATTCGTACAAGAAATTAGTAGTCTTAGATTTAAATTAATGTATTATATTACTTACTATTATCTTAATTCATTATCAATCACTGGCCGCAATGTTATAAAAAATATCCCCCCCCCCTCGCCCCAAAATAAAATCCTAGATCCACCACTGATCAGAGGTTTTGTCGACGTTCAAGTGCGTGTCGGGTGCACGCGTTACGTCAACGATACGTTGATTTCCTTTCGATGGTGTGGTCACTGTCCTGAAAACGCACGATCCGTGTACCGTACGAACGACCGGAGCCCACGGTACACCACGGGTCAAAAGTGTACAGCAAAAACACGTCTGTAACAGCCGTGCGCCAGAATATTTATTGCGGAAAAAAAGAAAGAGAAAAAAAAAATAATGAAAACAATATGTACCGCAAGGAACATCGCGGCCATAGTAGCACGTAAATTACATCATTGACCTATGCAAGATTTATCGGCGGACGTCCGAGACACGAACGCGCAGTTCATCACGTGCGTAAATGCATTATACCGTCGTCGCGCAGGAACGGCATGGGCCGCGTACGGATTATTAGTTTTGTATTGTTAATGTTAACGTTATTATGTTGTCACGTGATAAAATCACTTGAACGAAACCGTGTCTGCTTTAAGGTGGTCGTGAGCATAACCAATGGATTGGATTTGTTCCGACGCTAAAAACGGTTTCAAACATTCCATCAATGACACCTACCGTAAGAGATTTCATATCGATCTTAGTTTTTCTTTTTCTTTTCTTTTTCTTAGGTATTTCATCTTTTTTTTTTCCCGTCGTTATGATTTCAAGTAACATTCTGGCCAAAGCACTAAAGTAGAAGTGTACCAAAAAATAAATAAAATTTAAAATCATCACCACGACGACGGATGTTTCATTGGTCGTGGTAAAAGATATTTGTAAGGTTTTTTTCATTTCGTTTAGCGGCTTATATCAAAAACAACTGTCACATACCGTAGGCATATGTCATATATTATTACATAGGATTAATTAATTATAACGAAAAATGTTTCAGCAACGATAAATTAATAAGAAATTATTGAAAACACGATGGACGTAAACTTTGTTGATGAATTCAAATAGAAACGGGTTACGGGTATAGGCGAAACTGTAATCCGAGCCAATCAGGCCATGGCTTAGGTTAATGCCTAGGTTGTCATCAATAAAAACTAAAAGTAAATTATATTGACGTTTATAACAAATTAATTATTATTATGTATTCAAATAGGGTTTTTATATTTTTGAAAATAAGACAATATATAAATAATAGGCGAGGGCTACTGCTTGTGCTTTTCTTTCATATGGATTTACTACTCTAATAGTATAATAGTTACATACATATATCATAAATAATTAATATATATTGATAAATATTACTATGAATTCATCAGAATGTAGTCCACGGTCATGCGCAATGAAGATAGGAATTGGTCATGATCGATTCGACAGGTTTGGTTGTGGTGCTTGCATACAGACACATTACATACATTTGCCTGGTGAAAATATTGTTTACAACATTGCTCTTACAAATAAAAGATCTTAAGAGTTTTACTTTTATAAATAATACTTTTTTGACTATAAATAATGTATATATATCATTATTAAAAACTATTTGTTCATAAGATAATAAAAATATTTTCTTGAATTCAGGTAAATTTGAAAAAATGGTAGCCATCGATACATTTCCTCTTTTCGGTAGTCTCCATACTCACGGGTAGAACACGATTGCGTAATTTGTCCTTTTTGGCAACACTATTGCGCATGTTTATAGATGGGTAGGTAATAAAAAGATGGGTAAGAAAAATAACACAATTGCGTATGATATTGTATGCAACGTTGTCAAATTTACTAATTTCACCGTATTATATCTAATAATATAGTATTATATATGTACTAATTCATAAAATAAATGTATGATAAAATAATAAATTAAATAAAACGAAATTTCGTTATATCTGATATATTTGATATCATTAACAATGAACATAGATAATAAAAGTGATGAAACACAAAGAATTTATCAAATTTTTCAAGTTCACTCGTATATGCATGTGGTATAAACCTATACCGGTATGAGAATTGGCATTAAACGCTTAAAACTTCGTACGCAATCATGTAGGTAAATCAGGTAAAATCGTACAAGATCGTGTAGTTAAAAAGAAGATATTAAAAAGATCGTGTACTTAAAAATGTATCACTGATAACGCACGTAGACAATCGTGTTTTACCCATACTCACTTATGTTTTTCAAACCAAATTAGATTTTCTGGAGGATTAAATTTTTGATCTATTCTAATGAAAATTACTAGTTTCGTCTACACGTATGATTGCTATAAGTACAAAAAATAAATTTTCACCTTAGAAAATAAATATTTACAATATATAGTCACTGACATTGTCAGCTATATATACATGATAACGGAAACTAGATGAATATGGTCTCGTACCAACGGTTGTCATAGCTAATATTTAATTTTTTTAACAAAATAGTTTGGATATTTATATACACAATAAAATATTTTTTTTATGTTTATATTGATGAAAAACTTAAATACATGAATGTCTATCATATAATTGTAACAATAGGTTTCAAACTTCAATCCTAATGAACTCCTAGTTCTAATATTGAACTACTACTATCCAAATTACTTTGAACCTAAATTCAATTATTAATCCATCATTTATCTCCTTTCTGCCACTTTGCAAAAATCACTTATTCTATAATGTTATTATACTAATAACTTTCATAATATGAAATTATCCCAGTTATAAATTATATTAAATTTACTTTCATTACGTCACTCATCTATCATTCATTTATCGAAAATCTTATCTAACTTCTTTTTATGTATCACAAATTGTATAACATTCATAAATGTTATTACTTCATTATTTCATATTATTAGAGATAAAAATTAATCATTATAAGATGGTGTCACCAATGGGTAATTTCTAGCCTTATGTTTTTCTTCATTAATATTCGTAGTTATGTTACTATCAAAAATTCTTATCGTACAACGTATTTACAGATTGTGTATGTTTTGTTTCTTCTTCTTCTTCACCTTTCTCCAAACTATTTGGGGTTGGCTACTATTTTTCTTAACCTCCACCGTCTCGATTTCCTACGTAACCTACGCAAACACAAATAGCTCTCATATCATTCTGAACCGTATTCAGCCATTTTATTTTTTGGTTTTCTTCTTCCTATTTTCCCTTCAATGTTCATTTTCATAACCACTTTTACTGCTTTAATTTCCTTTTGCATCATCATATGCCCCAACCATCTCAGTCTATTTTATCTTATCCACTACCGACGCTATACCAATACTATCTCTTACATATTCGTTCCTTATTCTATCTTCTCTAGTCACTTCACTCATCCATCTTAGCATTCTCAATTTTGCAGCACTCATATTCTGTTCTATTCTTCTGTCAACTGTTCAATACTCCGAACCATAGAACATAGTTGGTCTCAATGAACTCCTGTAAAACTTACTTTTCAGCCTTATTGGAATTCTTTTATTATATAAAATGCCTAACGCTTCTCTCCATTTCATCCAATCGCACTCAATCATATGTTTTACATCCATATAAAAGCCCCCATTATTTTGTACAAATGATCCTAAATATTTAAAGTTCTCGGTTTCGTCTATTAAATCACCGCTTATTGTCATTGGTCTCCTCATCTACTCTACTTCTTGATATTTTCTTATAAAGTCATACTCTATCGTGTATATCTTGTTTAAAAAAAAAAAAGAGAATCAATATAGAAACTATACGAGATTCAATGATATATTTATTAAATTGTAATATTTTTCAGGAGACATGTATATAATTTAACTTAAGCAGATTTATTAATTTACTATACTCATTCAATAAAAACTGTTATAACATATCATTTTTTGCGTTATAATTAGTGGGCGAAATAAGTTTATTTTTTTATTTTTTTTTTAAAAAAAAATTTAATTTGACATGGTTATTGTATTTGAATCATTATTTAATCAAGTGTCAAAAATAAATACAATTATTGTTGAAAATTTAAAAATAATAAATGCTAATCAAGCTTAAAAAATGCAATAAAAAATAATTTACCGTTTATAATTATTGTCATCTACAGTAGTGCTTCTCAACCTTTTTTGTTGCAGGGCCCCTTAAATTTAATGTAAAACTATCAAGGCCACCTCAATCAAAATCATTAATTATTTATTGTTAGGGATATACTAAATTTACATCCACTATTCCACACAAATAAATTATTAAAATGTAAAGAAAATAAATGTTTTTTAATATATTTTTGAAATGTAATCCTACAATTGTATAAAACTTAAAACATATATAAACAAAAAATAATTGGTAATACCTATAAAGCAATACAAAAATATTCAGTAATAATGTTGATTTGGTTTCAAACAAAGGATATGTTAATAATAATAATAATAAAGCATATTTTAAGCAAATATATTTATGTCAGGTGTGATATTTGAAACTAAAATACGCCAGTCTTTATCTAAAGATGGTTGTGAAATGCATAATCTTTGTTTGTTTTTATAATCTTAAGTTGTGTAAATGCATTTTCACAAAGATATGTTGATGCGAAAGGTATTAATATAAGTAAAGCTGCTTTCGAAATTACAGGATACTCTTGCTGTCATCTTAACCAAAATATAGTGAATTCTTTTTCATTAAATTCGGTTTCAAGTTTTAAATGAAATAAATATTTCACAGCCCTCCAGTTATATAACCACGGCCCCCAGGCTGAGAAGCATTGAACTACAGTACACTAATCACTTACCATACCACGTGAGCAATGGGTTATTATAATAGTTATATTCGTAGTTAACTTACGCTGAGGTGCACAATAATTCATATTGTCACTTGAATGTTTATGTTCAAAAAATACTGGTTTCTAAAACCTATCCATAAGTTGAACTAGTCGATTGATTAATTTGTGTGTTTTTGTTTCCTATCATAATTAGATGTCGAAACTGAATTAATGTATAGTTTATTTGAAAGTAAAGTCAGGTATGTTATTGTTATATTGATTTACGTGAACCATTAGATGATTCGTCATAGCGACGTACAAACTATTAAAATAGTAATTAATGAGTACGGATAGACAAGCCGTCAAACAAGAAAAAGTATTAGATTGTGAAGTGTATAACGTTGTTTCCATACAAACAAACGTCGTAACCAAATGTACTCACTACGAATCCGTATTTAGAAATCAATTTTACTCGCGTACTGAAGGCGAATATTTTAGATGATTCAGAACAAAGGAGCCATGGAATTATATGTTATTTATTTATGTGGTCACGTGTAGCAAGTGAAAAAAACCGTTCTATGTTATCGGTAATACATTAAAATTCCGTCCGATAAAGGCATGAATTTCGGTACACGATGCCAGATTTGTGCCAACATAGTAGAACATGCCACTCCAACTCCAACTGCAGAAAAAATGTCCGGTCCCGTTTAAATCTCTTAACTCAAGGTCCGAACCATATGGAACTAGACCGAAATCCGGCATAATCGGTATGGTCTGATAGGCGATAAAATACATCGGGATTAATTCGAACCAAAAACCAATGTATAATGTGTGAATATCAAGCATCTTCTGTGGCTCAGTATCTAGTTTACTTGAAAATGTTGAATTGGAAATTAACTTCTGACAATGATTTCTGTATACAATTCAATTATGAAAATCTTATAAAATTATTTGAAATATTCATTGGAATATACTATTTGTTGGGCGAAAATTGCGAATGCGCCTATCTTCGCGTTGATTACTCACACTTATACCAATGATATTGTACAGGTAAAATCAATTTCTTTTTTTTAAATAATAACTATTTCTACTTTATATAGTTCTTAAAATTAGATTTAAGAAAACATTTGAGAAATAAAGTAATTTTTCCACATACATTTTACACCGATTGAACGACTTCATATTTTATGATATTCAATTTATTTTATAACATATTAATATATTTTATATTTACTTTAATTAAAAAAATTTATTTTATTTATTTTATGATATACAGTATATTTTTATGATTGAACGACATCATATTGTATTTACATATGATTAGAAGTTAATGAATTAAAAAAAAATATTTTTACCTTAGAGTTTTATCAATACTTACACTCGGTTATTGGAATCTAACCCTACTTGATATAGCTGTGGATATCATTATGTAACTATAGAATAACTTTACTAACTTAACAATGTATATTTAATATATTCAATTTTGAACTTACAACTGGGATTCAATGACTAATGACATAAAAATTATTTTGAATTCGAATATCGAATGTGTTTTTTTATTATTATCTATTTATACTTATTTTTTCTGGTTATTTTGAATATCATTAAAAATATTATTTTAATATTTGGTAATTATATTCAAGTTCATTGTTTCAAGTTTAACGTAACTACAGATGGACACGAACCCGCACGGCACACCACTTTTCTATCACAGGAAAGCCTCCGTCCTCGGTGACATCTATTGGACTTAACTTTGAACAGGTATGTTTTTTCGTGACTAGTAGATGCAATACTCAATTGGTTGAATATTTATTTTTTCTTATGTCGATATTATTCGGTTCATTCGGTGTCAGGCAACGTTTTGATTATGAATTCCGTACGAGTCTACTTCAAGACGAATTTGTATAATAATCGTAATTGATTTAATAAACCGTGAAGTGAAAAAAACCTATTTCGAAGTTTGAAAAAATATGTAATATTTTATCTGCTTGGAGAACATAAATTAAATTAAAAATTATAATTCACCTTCTAAATTAAATGCTCGAAAATGGTTTTCGTTCTATTAATTTTTTTTCGCCTGTTGTTAGCGTCATATATTTGGTACTCGATTAAAGAATTTTATAAAAAAAGTTCTAAAGTTTTATAAACCTTTTGAAATTTGTTTGTGAAATTACTTCTGCAAATCGAATTTCTTTTTAACAATCAACCATATTCAAATCACATTTATTCAAATTTCTTATTTTAATCATAACACAAAGTAAAAACACCACTTTTTCTTTAACTCAAGCTAATAAAAAGAAGCAAAACTGTTTTATGATACATCTTTGTTGAAATTAAAAAAAAAAAAAAATGATTTTGTTTATTTTTAGCTAAATAGTTTATGAAGTATGATAAACTTTAAAATAAAAAAAAAAAAAAAATTACTAAATTTTTACCATTTCAAAAAAGTAGGATAGTTACCTACCATTACTACGTTGGTCATCTGTTATTTTTAGATTTATTTAGATATTTTAATGTTTTATATATTTTGTATTGAATTAAATTACTATACATATATTTGTCAACATTTATATATTCGTCCAATTTGGCTATCATCCTCGATGTAATCAACTAGTTTTTACATTTTGATTGAAAAAAATACGTTTTACTAAACTATCGTAAACAAATGAAATTGGAGTACAAATTAAAATACATTAAGTAAATAATCCTCATATTAATAAATACAAATTCATTACAAACAATTCGGTCAATATCATTAACTGGCATACCTACAAAAAATGTCAGGAAACAGATTTTATTGAATAATAACGTTTTGATTTTTCTTTTCAAATTTTTTTTAATAATCATTTTACTATAATATATCTTTTAACGTTAGTTGATAGTATAATTCATGGAACGCTTAGTTGAACAAATATTTTACCATTAAAATATAATACACCAAAACATGTTCCTGGATTGTTTGTAAACATGTAACATCCAAAATATTTGCATATTCTGATAATTCTAAAATATATAATAAATATAAAAATACTTTGTGTTTTTAAGTAGGTTTTCCCTTATTATATTTTAAATTATGCATGTCTATCAAAGTATCGATGGCGAAAATGTTGGTGAATACGACAAGATTTCTCAAACTTTGTATGAATAAAAACAATCACACTCAACACTTCACCATAAAATATTTGAATTTGAAGTTAAAATTTTGATTTAGTTACATAAAAAATTTCAGAAATATTAATCAAAATAATATTATGGAATTTTTATCAGATACATTTAATTAATACACTAGAAAAGGTTCAGAGAAATCTGTTTTTAAGCATATAAATCCAAGATATTTAACCAAAACACGGATGCGATTGCAAACTGCAGATTTAAAGTCATTGAAGATTAGATGGTTAGTTTTTTTTTGAGACTACATTTTTGTACAAAATATTCAATGGAGAAACAACTGTCCTGAATCATTACAAAAGATCGGCCCTCAAGTATTCTCCTTAGATTTAAAACATAAACTTACTTTTGCTATACCACAGTCAATACCAAATCATTTCACTAATCAAATAAATCAAATAAAAAATTTGGATATTTTTTCAATTCTTGTACCACATTAAAAACAATCTAATAGTCTAACAATTTCTACCCCTTGAGGTGTTTTTATAGCGACAGATAAATTATTATTATTATTTGAATAAAATAACAAAAATTGTCTTTTCGTTTGAAAACAAAATGCTGTATTCCCACAAGATATTAGTTAAGGGGTACAAAAAAATCAATGTATTGGATTACACAGTTTTTTGGTATGTTTAAATTAAACTTCAAAAAATCAGAATTCGAAAAGCACGCACAATTTAAGCATGCAAATTGTGTGCTGAGCATACACAAGAAATCACTCTGTACGTATCCACAGTAAAAATGTTTTTTTTATTT